ATCTCCAGGATTTTTTCAGCACAGGATAATCCAGGCCTGTAGACAGGTCTGTACAATGAGTTCTCAGATCCAATGAGTTCCTGTAAAACATGAGATTTCCCAGCAAATGTCGGACTTCAGTCTCAGAAGAGCCCTGGTATCTTCTGCTAAGGTAGATATTAATACCAGAACTGCTGTAACAGTGGAAAAGTTTATCAGTAGAAAAACCTTATCAACAGGTTACAAAATTTGTACTGTGATCAACTTCAGATAAATGTATTTAAATGGGGTTTTTTTCTTTCACTTTTGATTTCTCCTTCCATCACAGCTCAGCTCTCCACGGCAGCAGCGGATGTAGTTGAGTCATCAGAAACTCCAGTGCCCTCCATAGGCACAGGGTAAATTCCAAGCCTTTGTAATAGAAGGGGGGGGAAAAAAGTCAAGAAAAGCTTTTTTTTTTTTTTTTTTTTTTCCTTCTGCACTCTATGTTGTCAGTCCACATCGGGAACAGCTCAGAGAGAGCTTACACTGCCCCTTAACTTTAAAGCCTTGAAGTATTAGACACTTTGCTGGCCATCATTCAAGAAAGATTAGAATGGAGTAAGTTTCCTGCAAGCCGACTTTGCACAACTGTATGGCTGGAGCTTGGCTCAGAGCTGTCCCGTCATTAGACAAACCCGAATGTCCCTCACCAGTTGCATCTCCTGGTGCTGGTTACAGGAGATGTGGTGTTTGTGGCCTCGGGAAGTCTTCCTTCAGATGAGCAAACTCTAGTGTGCCTACTTCTTTCCTAATACAGGGGAAAACCCTGATTATATATATATATTTCTTGGGTGAGGTGTGTACGAGCAGGAGGGCTGCCGTGCGGGAACCACGAAGGCTCCACTCCCTCCTGCGCGGGAAGTGACCTGGCAAATGCAAATCAGTGTTTCAGTATCCTCAGGATGTTTACCCTGGTTTGTTTTGCATATTTCTGCCATTACTGTCTTGCCATTAATTACTGCTGATTCCTGGTAGGATTTCAGTTCAATTCGAGGACATGCAAGGATGTTACTCAAAAGTAAAACAAAAATAATAATGCTGGCCCGTGCAGGGCTGCTTCCGTGTGTAGTGCTCCATGACTTACCTGTCCCACCTCACCTGGCATATCTCTGCCTTAGTGTTTTTGCTCCCGTGTGTTATCTCCATTTCCCGGGAGCATGTATTGGTGTAGCTGGCAGCTCCCCCAGAGCGCCCACCTAGTCCAAGAATTGCACTCCCAGTTTGTGTTAGACATGTAAAATCGCTGTATTACCACATAAATACAGGTTGGCAGCGGCTGTTCTGATAACGATACCCTCGCGATAGGCAATATTGCCCTCTACTGGTTAGCTACAACTCGAAGGATCCCTGTTTTCCCCTTTCCGTGCAGCAGCTTTGGTATGAGAAATTATTTTCCAGCTCTTCTTGCTTGTAGCAGAAGGCAGCTTTTAGTCCTAATGCAGCTTTTTAGGATGCCACAGCTCGTGGTTCATTTCTTTTTCCTCAGAAGCTGCTGTTCATTTGGTGCACCAGAAAACCAAAGTGTAATTATTGTTTTTAAATGTTACTAGTAATGCTGAATCCTTCATTTTCAGAATTAACCCTTAGAAATGTAACTTCTCCCAGCTGGTTTTGCAAGTGAAATAGCTGCAAGGTTTTTAATTATTATTTGCATTAGGGTAATAAGATCTTTTGCTTAATGCCTGGATGTTGATTCCAGCTGCCCCTAATAATTGCCCCCTGCCCTGCCCCAGCTGGGGTGGCTGCAGGATGAGCTGGCTCCAGGCACTGAGCTGGGTTAAACATAGGCTTGCAAAAAGAGTGTTATTTTTAACCTGGGTCAGTCCCTGCTTGGGGTCACAGCGTGTCTGCCCAGGCTCTCACGTGAGTGTGCTGGCGTGGAGGCACAGGAGACGGCAAGAAGGAGGTGTTGGGGGAACTGAGGGCTGTTTAAAGCCTGAGCACCCCTGAAAGGTGCTTCTTGGGTGGATATTCCAGCTCTGAACTCAGGTATGCCCCTCCTCCTCCATACCAGCTGTCTTCCTAAAAGCCATTTCTAGGACAAGTATCACCACTGACAAAGCTCTAGCAATGTTTAAACACTTTTTAGTGGTGATGCTGTGGGGCTGAACTCTCTCAGAGTAAATGTCAAGTTTCCTGTTTCCAGTGGTACAGCTGTTTCAAATATGTTTAAATATGTAGAACAAGGGAGACCACCTGATGCAAGTTACACTTTAGTTTTTTGCTGTGCCAGGAGTGCAAAAGGTAGATGATCAGAGGAAGATCTGATGGCTTGTGCCATGCACAGCACTGGAGTCAGTTCAGTATTTGAACCTCATCTGACATGGTGTTGCACCATTTAATTTGTGGTGCCATCCTGCTGTCCCACAACTCATAAAGGGGAAAAAGTTTGGACAATTTTTTGGGGTCTTTTTGTAACTAAAACTTATCTTTGCCCAGGGGAGGTGGAAAACTGAATTGGGTGATCAAGATGGATTTAATCGTTTTGATACTTGAAGGGAGCTTATAAGAAAGATGGAGACAGACCTTTTAGTAGAGCTTGTAGTGACAGGACAAGGGGTAATGGATTTAAAGTGAAGGAGGGTCAATTTACATACAAAGAAGAATCGTTTTACAGTGAGGGTGATGAACACTGGCACAGGTTGCCCAGGGAGTTGGTAGATGCCTCATCCCTGGAAACATTCAAGGTCAGGTTGTACAGGGCTCTGAGCAACCCGATCTAGTTGAAGATGTCCCTGCTCACTTGCAGGGGGATTGGACTCTATAGGGAGGTTGGACTCTGGGGGAGATGAGCTCTAAAGGTCCCTTTCAACTGAAATGTTCTGTGATCCCAAAGGCATTCTGGTTCCCTGTGTCCAGTACTGAGGAGTTGTGTTAGTGTGTCTGACTGGCGTGTCTCTGTGATGCACGCACACAGAGCTTCAAGAATGGCCTCAGCACGTTTCCCATTCCTGCATCTGTTTGCCAGTATAAATTTTAAACATACATCAAGACTTCCACATCAAAAGGAGAGCCATGCAGTTTGTGTTTCTGTGGGAAGGGAGGGATCTCCTTTTTCTGGTGCACTATAATTTGTGAATACTCTTGACTCGTTTTTGTATGTGCAACTGATGTACTTGGGTTTCCTATGCTTTTCTTTCTTACTCTTGGAATTTTATTGGTTTATCTTCACAGACCTGGTATCAGCAGCCTGATACATGCTTCAGTGCTGTTTGTACAGTGTGTAAAATCCTGTAGCCTCTTATGGAAAATGATGGCAATTCTGTGTCTGGAGTTCTCTGAGCTTTTCCTTGACCTCCGCTTCTCGTAGCTGAAGCGCTGTGCCACATATGAGGGGAAAATCACCATCTTGCCAGCCCTCTCCTACTGCAAGGAGAACCACACACCCAGGGTTTTACACTGGCACGATGCAGGCAGTCTAAATCCAGAGATCCTTGTCTTGTCGTTTGTGATTTTGTCCTATTTGCTTTGGAAGTGTGTGGGAGACCCCAGGGCACAAAAGCATTAGTCCTGAGGCGGGGATGGGCATTAAATCACCTGGGAAGAAGTGTCCTCTGCATAATACCCAAGCACATCAGGTGCTCAGACACACAGTAGGGGTATGTGAGGCACGTCCTGGAGTCCTCTTCTCCTGCAAGGCCTCGGGTGCCTGCACTGCACTGTGAAATGACTTCTTAAACATACCTTGCCTCGTTTTTCCTCATGCGCTTGGAAGCCTCTCCCCCTGTACGATTACAAGGTAAAGACAATGGAACCTGTTGTGTTTGAGAGTGTTGGTGGTTTGGTGCACACACAAAGTGGGTATTCCTGCTCTGTCCCGTGTTGCGTCCGTGGCGCTTTTTCCATCTTCAAAGCATTTTCCAGCCATGAACTAAGAGCGCACGCATTAGCTGAGAGCACACACCCCTCCCTGAGCAGCTGATGCCGGGCACATCCCAGGAAAAACTTCCAGAATGTGACACACCACTTTTGATGCAAATAAAATGATGCCATATTTCATCAGCTCTCTTAAAAGTACTTAAGTAATTGAACTAATGAAACTTTAAAAAGCCTTTAAGAAACAAATGCGGTACACACCTTTGTTCTCACTCTTCCCCCCCCCTTTTTTTTTTTCCTCTCCCTTTCCCTTGCCCCTTATTTTCCAAGTTGAATGTCTTTTGTTGGCATTTTGGTATCTTACTGTTTGCTTTTCAATGTGTGGTTTTGCTGAGTTTTATGTGTGTTACGGGAGCTGATTTCTCTACTTTGCAGCACTGGTGCTGTTACGGTTTCTGCAGCAAAGGAAAGTGTCATCTGCAAAACAGCATGAGTATGACTGGAGTTACCTCATCTTTCATATCAGTTGGTGCAAACATTGGGTTTTATTTCCATTGTGTTCATTGGCCTGTGCTGTGTGTGCCTGCCTTGCCTCTGGACTGTGTTTACCTCTCAGCTTCAACATGATTTCTCATCTTCATGTGGTCCTTCACACATCTCCACCATCCTCCCAGCTGTGATGTCCAACATCTGGCCCCTCTGAACCCACAGTGGCTTTGTATCCTACCACCCCTGTAGTCAGCTTGGGTATTTATCCCTCCTTTCCCTTTAACTTTTCCTTGAGCAGGGCCAACCCTCCCTAGGCAGACAGTCCAGGTGAGGTGGGATAACATGCTCTGCACAGGGCAGAAATATTGTCCAGGGCCATGTGCTCAGCTCCCTCATGCTGTCTTTTGGGAAAAAGGGAACAGTGGCCCCTGGGTTGTCATATCTACTGGATTTTTTGGGTAGCTTCAGTGTAGTGAGAGGCCACTGATGGAGCTTTCTGCTCCAGACCCTCCCTGAGTTGCAGATACATGGCGCTATCTGTGACTAACCGCAGCCAAGACACTAGTTTTGTGACCCCTAATGTCCAGCCCATTTCTGAGGGGTTCTTTTTTTTCAGGCTAAAATTAGGCATTTTGTGTGCAGCTCACTTCTCTTTCACTTTTTGCTTTTTTCAGGGGAGGCAGATGAAGAAGCCTTTGCCGAGGAGTGCCGACGGAGAGGACAACACGCGCTGCCTTCCCAGCCGGCCAACGCTCGCCTGCAGAAGTCTCACAAGCCTGCCAGTTCCCCTCGATATGCCTTTCATTTTAATAGTGACGAGGTGGAAGAACAGGATAGAAGCCGGGTCATGAGCAGCTTCGAGGCCCCTTTTCATTTATCAGGTGTGCACAAGCATGGTGGGGAGGAACACGCAAAGGACGATCCATCAGCTAGTCAGAAGCCAAAAACAAAAAGCCAAGCAAGAAGTTGGTGCTGTGTATTGACTTAATGTTAGCTCCTTGATAGATCATAAACAGCAGCTTATGTGCCTTCATCCTGCTTTAGCTCTGATCTTCCATTTAGCCTAGATTCACTAACGCCCTGGGATACTTAAGGATCCAGGGCAAATATTGTTGTGCTGCTGAAGTGCCTCTGCTCTTTGTTGTTAAAAGTGAAGGCCTTTTAGAGGTTAACTCATCACAGTACTTTGCACATTCATTTACTTAAATTGTGCTTGGCTTCCTTGTCCAAGGAGAAGTTCAGCAACTTGATACTATTTCTGGAAGCTGCAATTTTAGGCACCTAAATCTTAATAGAGAAGGCCGAGACCGTTCAGGCAAATGTGGCAACGTGGCAATTGTCCGGGTTATTTTTGGAAGTAATTAGTCCTTTGATATATTTCCAGTCTGTAATGTTTTGGCAATGTAGTCCAGAGGCTATCTTGGACAACAGACTCCTCATAACTACTTGATTTAATTGGAACCTGTGGTCAAAGATCATCCAGGACTGCCAGGACAGGTTTTTCTGATACATGAAGATGCCTTTCTGCTTGGATGCCCAATCCAAGGACCCTTCTCAGTAGTGTGGGATTAGGCAAAGTGCTGGGAAGTGTGAGCACATGAGGCTCCTCAGGGTAAACACAGCACATGAAGAATATGCACTGTCCCCCAAAACAGGCACTCATGTACTCCCAGTGCTGCACCAACTTCCACTGTGTTTATGAGCCTTTAAATCTAACACTGCCTTCTGTATGGAAGACCTAAAACTACCATGTGGGATGACAGGTTGAAAAAATAGAAACGTTTAGATAAATGTCTTCCTGATCAGTTGCTGGAAGTTTTGTCTTTAAGGATGGTGAAGTTGAAACTTTTCCTTAAAAAAAAAAAGTTACAGAGGCCTGAATGTAACCTCTGGGCTGGTGTCCTGAATCTCCCACTCAAGGGTTACAGGTTTGGTCTCCTGTGTCTGTAGCTGGCGAAACAAAACCTTGGCTGTGCCTTTGGAGACGTGAGGGTCTCTGCAATCATAGCAATACTCTGCAATGATTTCTGAAGGGCAGCTGAGGTTGACATGCACCATGCAATTTTTGGAGCAGTTTTTAAGATTGCTTAGGACTTTTTGCTGTGAATTTATTTATGCTCCAAGACGCACAAGTTTGCAATTAAAATTAATTTCCAGAAGTATTAGTGCAATCACAAAATCCTCTCTTCTACCAGTAGATTGTGAGTTGCCATAAAAGACTCAGGGTGGAAAACTTGACTGAAGTAAGATTTTACTGTTGATTTAAATATTTTGCCTGCTGTTCCTCTGATGGACAGGGCTGCTGAAGGACTGGTCGGGTCAGTCATAAAAACCTACGTGAGTGTCTTAATCCCTCCTTGGGAAGTTTTTGCACGAGCCCTGGCCAGTAACACCCTTGTCCTTCATGGGTGTTCACCTCTGCTGACTGCCTTGCCCAGAAAGGAGGCTTCACCAGCACAGCTCTGTAATTACAGAGGCCACTGACTCGCTCCCGCTTGGCTTCTCATCGATCACTGCGACAGCTGCCGTGCTTACACGGGCCAGCTTTGGGGGAGAACAGCATCTTTTTCTGCCTTGGTCCGGAGACCTCTAAATTCAGTGGAAAATTGTTAAGTCCAATGGCCTCAAACCAGGCACTGTTCCACCTCAAATCAGATAGTTTTGCCACCGCTGGTGTGGGGCCCTTGGCAGCAGGACCATGCAGTAGTTTTAGACGTTGTCCCAGTTGGAGCATCTCAAGCAAACCCTCAGTCATTAATGATTTACCTGCAGTGAAATGTTTTTTGTTTTTTTTCCCAGCCCTAGGAATGGGACTGTTTTAGTTTTGATTTGTAAGTCTGTAGGAAATTTAAATGAAGGAGAAGGGGATAGGTTTAATTTTGACAATGTGTGGGAATCCCTCTGGAAGTGGCATCTCTCTAGTGCCCAAGAGGAAAGTCTGGCCAGCTCGTTTAGGCTGTCATCCAATATCCAGAGGTGAGATGAATCCTCTCCTTAGTCAGGATTCCAGTCATCACAGTGGATATTTAATAAAAAATTAGAGTTTATTTTGATTCTCCATCTAACACTTCGTGTTTTAGTGGAAGTTGCTCTGGAAGCTGTTCCTAGTTTTGTAATGGCCATTTAGAATAAAACTTCACCTCTTGTGCTCTGAAGTCGCTGCATATCTCAAACAGTTTTCTAGCTCCAAACAAGGAATTTTTAAAATAATAATTCAGATACTGCAAGTGAAGTGCTCCCTGATCGTGTGATACGTGGCTGACGGGGGGATCCGAGCTGTGTCCAAGTGACATTAATGCCAGCAGAGACATGGGGGTGGCAGCCATTAATGGTGGAGGTGGTGGTAACTTCCTCTAAAAAACTACTGCCCTGGATTTTTGAGAGTTTTGACCTTTATCCAGCAAGAATGGCTGAAATTGTTTAATTGTTAAAATACTGAAAAATACATGATACGAAATCTCATTACTTGGAAGATAATATTGCAAGGTTTGCTCTTCCTTTTGAATGAAATAGCTTGCATTAACCTACAACTTACAACATTAATTATTCATTTTTGCTGCATTTTTATCTGCTGGCATCTGTGAAGAGGAAACCACTCTAACAGAGCTAGCTTAACTAATCTTGATCCTTTCCTGGCATGGATTCCTCTTCTGGAAAGTTGAGCTATTTGTACTTTATTTCATCTCTAATTCAGTCTCTGTTCTTTTTAACAACATGTGGTTTCCTGAATTACACTTTACTAACTGCTAACAGCAATGTGCTTGGTTGTCCAAACTAATTACTTTATGATTCCATCACATACTTAGTTTTGGGCATGTAATGGAAAGAGAAAGGAAAGCAAAACCACTGTTTTCTATGGAAATCTAATATGTGAGGAATCCTGGCGGTGCAGAGATGGAGTTCCCTCTCCCTTTGCTCCACATCCCCTGGCTGTAACTGTGTGTGAGTGGGAACAGCCGTACTCTTCTGGGGCGGGGGGTGGGAAGGCTGGCTGGTGAATTTGGAGACTGGCTGGTTGCTCCCTGGCTTAGCCCAGAGCTGCCTTCACGCATGGTGTTTTGGCTGCTGGTACGAAATCATCCCGTTACCCGTTTGCTTCCCATCGAGGATAGCTGGGTTGCACGTGGAAGGGCTTTCATGGCTGCATAGACCTGCAAGCTTTTGATTGCCATTTGGTAGTAAAACCTTGGAAATCTACTTAGTAATAGCATTACCTATACTATTACCTACCTATTATTACTAGGCAAGCAGGTTGTATCTGGCTTGGTATGTTCTTGAGGCAATTCTAGGCAGAATTGGTAATGAAAACAGCATGGTGAGCAAGCATGAAGGAAGGCCCCTGCAAGTTGCTGAAGCTTTTCAGTCTCCTGAAACATCAAAGTTGGGATTACATCACTGGGTTGGCCAGTGAAACTGGAGAACTCGCCCCTTGGATTTAACAGTGCAGATAATTAAACAGTGGAGCAGCATACCTAGACAGGGTGGGATGTTTTGTCACCTCAGGTCATTACGTAAAGGCAGGCTCCCTCTCCACAATGCTCCATGGCACGGGCAGGAGCTGCAGATGCGGTGAGGGAATTAGTAGGTCAGTGGTGTGTGCTGGGCAGTGGCTCAGGCTGAAAGGAGGGGATGTGAAAGTGTGGTGCAAAGCTGTAATTGCTGAGTGAGTCACGTGTCTGAAGTTATAATGAAGCTGTGATCTGGAGTGAATTTTTATAATGGCATATGTGAGTGTGGTCAGTCTGAAATAACAGAGGGTGGCTGCAGCTCAGAAGTAAACTAGCTGCCTTTGAAATTGCATTTTATTGTTTTGAATAGAGAGACATTTCTAAGAGCAGAAAATTAGAAAGAACACTACATAACCCACCTTGAAAGTGCCTTGCTGCCTTGTTAAAGCTCTGTGTGAGTGTTGGGGCCATTACTGCTTCCATGGTTTGAAGGAGGGTAAAAGACTGGCCACAATCTTAGCAAAAAATTAGTAGGTCTTGGAAAACACTCTCTGGGTCTTGAGCAGAAAGCGTGAATCCCTCCCACCCCCAACCTCAGTGTTTCACTCTGAAAGTGGAATGAGATTCCTCCAAAGTCTTCACCTTTGCAGATCTTCTGTAAAGATCAGGCCGTGGCCTTCGTTGCTGACTGATGTGGGTCAAGAAGCAGCAACACTGCATGTTAATTGTGAGTTGTGACAGAACACCTTGTTTCCCTCTGCTAATTCCTGTGCTCCTCTGTGCTGGCAGAAGGAAGGAAGGTGGAGCAGACCCATGGCTGCTCTCTGCATCCTGGTGGAGCAGGTAGATGTCAGGCAGGGCAGGAAGAAGTAGGATAACAAAAATGTGTTGGGTAGGAGTGTTTTCCCCAGGACACTTGTGCCTTTGGATCGGCCGCCCGATGTGCACGCCTCCCTCGCAGTTGCCACCCAAGAATGTGATGAGATTCACAGTCAGTGACTGAACAAACTCGTGACTTTGGGAGGTGCAGATGGCAGGGAGGTAGAAAGCCAGAAGGAAAGTCAATCTAGGACACAGCGGAGAGGCTTCCGAATTTGTTTTGGTCCTTGTGGAGCGGGGGTTGAGGGGGTTACACCTAAGTGTTGTTGGAAGTTGTTTTCAGCTTTCAGCACCTTTATGAAAGCTGCAGTAGCTTCTGTGCTCCTTATGGTTCTTCTGGAAGTAGAAGAGAAGGAGATGAAATGGAAAGAGTGGGTTAGCTGTTACTGTTTGTTTTAAACAATAATTATGCAGGTAGTAAACTAGGTGTAATTCCAGATGGTGTGGATTCTTGCTCCATCCATCTCTGCTCCTGGCAGCTGACAAAAGCAAGAAATACCAAGTTAGGCTGATATCCATCTGCTTTTGAGTGAATCTGTTTTCCAAACGTCACAGCTTGGGGAAGCTCTCAGAAACCTGTTCTCCCTCCACCCTGTGATGCATTTCTAGAGTGGAGATGGCGAACAATTGCTTCTAAGGGTGGAAATTTGAACAGCCCTTCTCCAAGACCAGGACTGTTTGGCTGAAGCCAGTTCAGCCTGGCACTCACTATGGGAAGTTTCTATGGACACTTTGTGATGCTGGTGACTCGCCAGGACACAGACTTACTGCAAAGTGATCAAATAGTTGTGGGGCTGCTGCTTTCTAGTTCAGATTTTGTTGTTTCATGACTTTGGGGCTAGTCTTGTAACCAAGGCAGCTAAATATGCTTTTAATTAGTGCTGGTTGAAGTATTTGAGTGAAATACGCACCGAAGAGTTACATCTTTAGTGTGCAGTTCTTATTTATGTTAGGAGCTGGTTTACTTGTTTGGATCAGGTTTTTAGCTGTTATCACTGGAGCTTACAGGCTGGCAAAGTTTGACCTATCCTTTCTTCTTAGCTGGGAGTAGAAAAGGAAATGGTAGAGAGTGAAATTATTTATCACAGTAGGCTCAAAACAGAAAAGACCTGGCACTTTTCTCTTGAGGAATACTCTGTATTTCTTATCTTCTACTTCAGCCAATCTGTTTCTGTGTGTCAGTGATAAAAGAAAGCTTGAAAGATTTCCACTTTTCACCCTTATCATTCTGAAGGCTGGTAGGAGACCATGTTGTCAAAAGCTTAAATATCTTCATAGCACATTAACTTTTGAGTTGCTTCATTTATAAGACAATGAATTATGTGACATTCACTTCAAGTCATAATTTACATTGACTCATAGTATTTTTAAGGAAGGGTTGCTTTCAAAGGAACTGCTTTCAAAATCTCAAACATTTGAAGAAAATGGACTGTTGCAAAAAAAAAAAGTATTATGTTATAAAATAACAGCATCAAATGCAATCATGCCTGGATGTGGAAGGAAGCCTTTTAGAAATACCAACAGTGTTTTGAGAATGAAAAATGCAAAAATTATGACGCTAATAACGTGCTAGAGTTTAATGACCCTTTCCCAAATATCTGTGTTATTGTTTCATAGCTATTATTTGAACTAGTTCTGATCAGCTGATATGACGCTGGTTTTCCCTCCAGTAAAGGGAAGAATCCTTTGAATAACACCCCCTGGATGACTGATTCTCAGGGGTCAGCATGTCTCTTCTGCCTCCATTGACCTCTGTGGGAAAGCAGAGAGATGCTTGATCTCTTCTGGGATGGGTGCCTTACTCAGTAAATTGAATGCCAAGGGATCCTATTTTTGGTGATGTATAGGTGACTGAGGGGCTGACATGGAAGGAAACTTCCTGGATGGATTCTAAGTGAGTTCACACAGTGTCCCCAGGGACAGGATTGTAGCTCAGGGGGTGGCAGGGTGCAGGGAAAACCCAGCGTCATCTGCAATTCTGCAAAGCACTGCCAGTTTTCTCTTCCTTAAACAAGAAAACTGGTTTCCACGCTAACTTTGTGCAGGCTGATCGCTCATGGCAGAATTTCTAAATAAATATCCTGCCTCTTGACTCAGGCGATTGCAAAAGGTGAAGTCATGCTGTTGATACAGTGTAGGAGCTAGAGTGATAACCTAGAACAGTTTCCCTTTGCTACAAGGGAGTGTATTTCCTCTAATGCATAAGCCTTTGATAACATCTCAAATGGTTTTAGCCTAAAAACTTATCTCGTGGTTCTCCCCAAGTCTTAAGCTTAAACTGAAGAACTGCAGATCTGCCGTGGGCACATCTCTAATTGCGCTTGGGAGGAGCTCTGATGAGGAGCAAACTGCAGCCACAGCATGGCTTTGTGCTCCTCCAGCCTCCCACCACTTCCTTTTCCCATCTTAATTTTGCTCTTGATACTAAATTGATGGAGAACCAGGTGCAATGGTGACACGGCTTCCTCAGGGCCATCTCTGCCTGCCTGCTGACAAAATGGAGGGAACAAAGAGATTTCCATACTGGCAGAGCTGTCCCCTTTCAGGGTCATTCCTCTCACTCCCAACCCTGCCTCTCAGCTGGCTTGCAGCAGCTCATCCTCTCTGTGCTGGCCCCGATCACTGGACTGTGCTGATTCCCAGTGGCAGAGCACCACTGAGCTAAAATATCCCTCCCGCTGTCTGAAAGCACCACAGAAGGACTGTCTGGGAGAAATGTTTACTGGCTTTCAGTTTAGATTTATGAATGCACCTGGGTAGATTGTGGTGGTTCACACAGTTCACTGCCTGTGCAAGTCTGCCAGCAAGTTGGATTTTACTGCAAATTTGAAGGAAAAGGTGTGATGCACAGCAAGAACTGTTTTTCACACATCATTGTGGGGGGAATAAACCATTGGAATGATGATCACATGGCTGGAAGCTTGTGCCTACTGAACCTGTAGCAAATAATCGTTGCTTGAACTCAATGCTTTCATGCACCATTGGAGCTGCAGTAGAATATAACCTGTGGTGCATAGTTAAGCATGAGCAGGCTGATGACCAGCATAGAAAATATATATTGGTGAACACTGAGCACCTTCTTATTTACTCAGGATTCTTGGTATTCCCTAGTCTTAAAATGGAAATGCAAATGTCGTGGTAACTCTGACTACTGTGAGCAGGAAATGCCAGTACTTAAATAGCTCCTGCTGTATAAGTCTTATTTATTGCTTCCGTTTCAAAAATTATTCTAGTTTTGCATGTGCTCTAATTTTGAAGCTTTTCCTGAATGGCTTTGAAGTATTTTGAAAGTTCTCCAGATCTTTTCAAACTTCAAAGATTGGTAGTGTTTTCTTTCTATCCTATGTAAGGGGTATAGTAGAACGGGGGATATAGTGGAAATGGTAGTTAAAAAAACCCAAAACAATACATTAGGAAGCCAGACATTTTCTTTAATATTCCTTAAACCATTCAGAGAACATGTGCTTTTGCTAGAGGGAAAAGTCCATGAATGCTGTGAAAAGTGTTTTACAAGCCATGTTTCCTCAGGATACAAAGAAGTCAGCAAGAGGAGGAAGCAGAAGCAGAGAGAGGAACAGAAGAAGAAGAAGTCAACCAAAGGGAGTTACTAAAATGGACTTCTCTGCTATGCCAATACCTTTATAATAATGACAACTTCATGTTACCTTTGAGCGCACCTCTTTTGTGTATATTTTTTGATTGTTCACACTGCTAGCAAGGAAGTGACTCATGTTTAAAACTGTACTAAAATTGCACTATGTTATTCCTTTTAGTTTCACGGAGTGGCTTTCTTGCCAGTCAGGTTAGGGAATTCGGACGACGCTGGTCGAGGTTAGGAGTGTTTTATGTTCGAAGATTGGAAGGCATTACAGAACTTCTTGCCTCTTCCTTCCCTGGGACTAAAACGACTCTGTTCTAGTGTTTGTTATTTGTCTTGTAGGAGACAAAGGGTTGTGCAAATGCCTGTTTGTTTGGTCGGTGGCATCAACATCAGGCCTGTTAAAAGAGGAGTCCTGTTCAGTCATGTCATTGGGAATGGGACTGAGACATGAGCTCTTATAGGGTAATTTATGCAAGCTTAATAAGAGATTTTTATGGTTGGGGTTTTGTTTAGTTTTCCCCCCCCCCAGGCTGAGCAGTTTTGTCCCTGATATTAAAATGTTCCTACATTTTAGACTGTATCCTGAGGTTATATCCTCTGATTTTAAGAAGCGTAGTGTAAGGATGGCCTCCTGTATGTACTCCTACTGATTTCTTTAAGCTTAGTTGACTCCTGATGAATAATTTAGTGAAATCATTCCTTATTTTAAAAGTTTATTTTCAGAACCTAGAGACAAATGATCCAAGTGCTACTTTAAAACTGCTCTTTGTTTCTGCTGAGTAGGCTTTAGATAATAAACATTTTTTCAGCATCCATATAAGATTTTATCCAGTTGTTTCTGCAAAGAACTTATACTTTTATGTATGAAAATGTTTTACATCAGTTTTATTGCAGGACTAATTTTTTTTTAGCTTGAAAAGATGTCTTAGATTTAAAATAAATACATATTTTCTGGCAAGATGACTTCCTTGCTTCCCGTGCTTGTCTCATGTGCATGACACATTGCTTCTCTTAACCTTTCAGTGTGTACAGAGCCCTTCTGTTGCCTTTAGCATTTACCTGCATGTTTCTTGTCAGTATGTTGTCTCCTCTTTTTAACCTCCAGGTAGGAGTTAGCAGCTTATGGTTTTGTTTTGTTCCTTTTGTCTTCCTCTTGCCAATACGTTGTTATTGTAACAGCCTTAAACCTGGCAATATTGAAAGTCCACAATTCCTGGAGAAACTCACTCGTCCTAACATTTAAAAGATGTAGGAATGCACATAATGGTGTAAGAGAGAAGCTAAACAGAAAGTCAAGTCTGCATTTTAGCATGGTTTGATATAACAAATTCTGGTGTCTCTGGTATCTGAATGGTTTAGCTTCAATTACCCCATGTAACCCTCTGCAAGCACAGAGTTTGTGAACTCTGTTAGGGGATGTAAATTACGGTTCCTATCAAATACGACTGAGTACCAGTTTTCTGTCACTTAAGTACCACTTTTTTTGTGCAGTGTTACTAATATTTAAAAATAAAGAAAATCTGCCTTTATACTTTGTCCTCTTGCACTGTATTGTAGACTGCAGCTGGCATCAGTTGTCTGTGTATGATTTCCATTAAAGTTTAGGCTGTAAGCACAAGGGGGAGAGTCCACATTCACACAATGCCCACAAGCATTCCAGGTAATTCCTTTTGTTAAATTCACAAACAACTCATTACATTCTCTGCGTCAAATGGCTGATACTGGAAAATGAGGGTTCTTTCTGGCTGGAAACATCACTATGAGGAGCATATACTTCAAGCAGAGCTTGCACATTTGGCATGCAAGGAATATTCATCCTGAATAATGCACAACAGTGAACTGCATCCTGGTTAGGTTGCTTCCCATGCTCTAGGAGAAATGCCCTCCATACATATTCCAGTGTTAAGCTGTTACTGCTCCTTATTCGTTGGGAACATGGTACTGCTTTGAAAAAGCAGGAGAGATGTAGGAAGGGAGAGGTGACAGCAGCATAGGGCTGGTCTCCCTGGGGCTGTCCCTGTGCTGTGAGCAGCCTCATGTAATAGGACAGAGTGGCTCCAGATCAGGAATGTGCCTTGAAGAGTTAGAGCAGGTTGAGATTTGGTACATAAATATCTTCTTGACTCAATCCCTGTGTTAGGCTTGATGGAGGTGGATAGAGCATTAATTAGGAGACCTGCAGGCAGGCTCTAAATTAGTTAGGAAGCCTGTCTCAACAAGGGCATCCTCATCCCACTGGAAGGCTGCTGGCATGCTTGCAAGGTGGCCTCCTACGCCTGGCGCCTTCCACTGGGAGAAACTCCTGGGAAACACAGAGCCCCCAGAGGAGGGAACCATGGGCTTTATCTTTCCTGTAACTACCTAGAATCTGCCCCAGCTTGCCCAAAAATTAAGAGATGTGGGCCCATGGCCATTAAGTCTAATTCATTCCTTCTCAGCCTAATTATTTCTGGATTTTAGCTGAAGGGTAACTGGTTAACTGCACACCACGAAGCGTGGCTGCAGCACTGTGCTCATGTGGCTGTGCTCCTTGCAGGACAGCCTGGATGTGGTGCCACGTCTGGATGAGCAGGCACATATGTGAGGTCTTGTATCCCAGTGCATCCATCTCCAAAGGTGAAGGCTTCATGATGAGGTGGTTACTTAAATATGTGTTGGGGCAGGAAAAAATGCAGGTGGGTGTGAGACACCACAGCTGATAACAGATGATGCTGGCCCAGAGTGGCTGTGAATAAATGTATTGTGAAAGTTGGGAAAAGATTCTTGCCCATCCCACAACGCTTCTGTGGAAGAGCTGAGAACAGAAACAGAGCTAGTTTAAATCACCTGATGTGATTTATAAAATGTGTTGCAAAATGATTCTTCACAGAGCAGATACCTGGGCTCAAAGACCCAAAATGTGTCCCATGAGAAAATTAATTTACTAGGGTAGAGAACAGTTGAGTAACAGCATAATTAAAAGGATACACTGAAAGCAATTTTATCTTAAGATAGAGGGGACAAAATTGCAAACAAACAAAATGCTGACAGATAAATGTTCTTGCTCCTCACTTGGAAGTTGTCACTGTGAAAACTGTTTAAATTCAGTTGTTTTTCCACACCTTCTAGAGATGTGCACAGTCTGCTCTTTGAACTAAGGTTTGGCAAGACTTTGACCTGAAATAAATGATCTCAGAGCGTGTAGGTGTCAAAATGCTAAAAAAGTATTTTTCAAATTTTTGCCCAGTCTCTGCTCTGTGCTGGTGCCACCTTTGTGGGCAGCCTGCAGACCTCTACGTCCTACTCCTGCAGGTAACACAAACTCTGTTTTCCTCTGTCATCTTGCCTTTCTTTACTGAGACTTGCTTTTTCCCCAAATTTGAAACCATCTCATGAGCCTTTGTATATACTTCTGAAATAAGACACTGAAAAGATGCTTCTTTTGAAGAGTCAGATATCCAGAAAATGTGCAGTGATCATTAGGGAAGCGTAAAGTTGCCTGTTTTCCCAACCACATCTGAAACATGACTCATACCCACTTGTTCTCTTCAGGAATGTTCCTAGACATGTGCCATCAAACTGGTGCCTATCAAGTGGTGGGATTAGCTTGTTACTATATCAGATGTCATTGTTGTATTCTGCCCATAAAGGAATCTATTCATTTACATTTCCCCTCCTTTGTTTTGTGTGCTAGTTGCACGGGAATGCGTATTCCTGGGATGCACAGGTTAGTCCTTCCTGCATTTCAGATCTCAGTTATCTTCCTTTTGTGCAACCCCACTCCTTTGTGTCCAAACTGAGCTCACATTTTAGTGCTCTCTCAGGTTACCTTGCCTGGGGAGCACCCTGCTGCCCTGTAACTCACATACTGGTGGGAGGGGGAGGGTGGAACGATTGCCCGTGATTAGGTATATTTAATTCTCCTCTTTCCAATGAGCAAGTTGGAATCTGGCCTTAAGAGACTTTTTATCACTATTTGCAAAACTTTCCTAGTTGCTACCTGTTGCACTGAAAACTCTAGGCAAGGCAATTTTCCTCTCCACTGATGAGAAATAAGAGAGGGGACTTACAGCCACATACAAATCTCAATAAACGTTCATATTTGGAACTATGATCGGTTCACCTGCCCTGTGTCATCACACTTTGTCTTCCCACAAGCTTTTCTAGCCAAAAAAGATTAGGTGGGGTGTTGGAAAGTGTCAGTTTTATTAAGTACCCTGTTGGTGCCTTCTTAGCCACCAGCTGTTCACCACCGATAGCAGGAGAAGCACTTCTGAAGTGGCTGAGCTGACATGAGATGACATTTCCAAGCGTGGGGTGGGTTACTTTGCTGCTCTCATCACGACAAGCAGAGACTGATCATGTCATTTGGCACATCTTTAACTACAGTGTAAAGTATCCCAGACTTTACTCCTGCCTCTTCCTGAAGGTCTCATGTTGTCACTGCAGAACCAGCCCAAAAACAAGAAGTGAGAGGAAGATCAAAACACACGCGCTCATGAACCCGAATGCTTCGATTTCAGGGAAACGCCTCCATATCTGCCTGGAAGTGATCACAGATTTTCTAGGATGTCTTCAAGGAGGGACCTCACTGCACTGTCTGGATGTCTAATTGCATCTCCTCAGTCTGTTTCCATTGGCATGCACATGCACCTTTCTACTGAAACAGCAGATGTCATTTTTTCCATGCCTTGTTTGGGAAATGCTCATCCTTTTGTCAATGCAGAGCTGTTTGCTTGTTCTTTAGACTGCCAGTGGTTGCAATTTAATGAAGTGTTATCTGGCAGGTGTTATTTTTACATAATTTCAATATTAGAGAGTTGCAGTTGGGAAAATTTCTTTTAACTTAATAAACAAAACTTACTTTCAGGTTTTTAAGATGAAAACCAACATGGCAAAATGGTAGATCACGGTGAAACCAGTGTGCACATACACCCCTAAAATGTAATAAGGTAAAATATATGAAATATGTGTTTCTGCCTGATTTTTTGAGTCCAAATGTGTGACATTTTGGGATGGTTTAATATGTTAAGCTGAGCAGTGCTGGTTGCATTGAGAACAACAGATAGTGTGAAGCCTATTTAATAGACTTCGTGCTGAGAGCTGAGGAAGGGAAGGAGCTCTAAGGAGAGGTTGAGGAGCACTTAGCAAACGTTTCCCATGGCACCTGGAAGGGATATTCACCGAAGAGGATTGACTTGATCCTGGCAGCAAACACAAGCTACAGCCTGCCCTGCTGGTAGTGTTGTGACAACATGGGTTTTACTGCTTTGGGATTTGAGGTGAGGAGGTACCAGCACTAGAGCCTCCCCATTGCTGTGAGTCAGGCTTCGTACCCATGGAAATGATTTGTCAGCTGCCTGGCCCACTGTCCTGTCTTTGATAGTGACTAATGGTGGATGCCTAGGGGAAAGCACAGGAACAGGCTAAGCGTGTTGTACCTCACCAAATGTTTTCCCAGCTGTGGCACTCTGGGGGTCAGAGGCTTCTGGATCCAGAAATGGTCTTTCTGTTGCTCAGTATTTTTTTTCCATTGAAAGCTCCTCAATACCCATTGTCCTCTGACAAGGCATTCCTCATGTGACTCTACTGGGTAATGAGATAACCCCTGTGTTTTAAAACTCTCTCTTACACCTTCCTTTGGGTTCCTCCACTCCTCCATCCCAGCATTGGAAGAGACACTGCACACCAAATCCTCATTCACCTTTTCCATGGCACTCATGATTTTACACTTTTCACTCATGCCAGCCTTTGGTTAACTCTTCTATGCCTCAAGAGGTTCAGCACATGGAAGCATTCCTCCCAGATAAGCCTCTTCCTACCTTTGATCATCCTCTCAAGTTGGGAAAGCTTATTAAACAGCAGCTTCATAAACTGTGATGACCATCCAGACAAGCATGTTACCCACTTGTATTCCCAATCGACAGAAAGAGAACCAGGCCCTGCACACCCCGGGATGCAGGAAGAGCAGACCAACACCTGGGACCTGGCTCTGATGCCCTCAGTCTCACCAGGCTCTCACAGGCTCTGAAATACAAACACATGAGCTCATGGCAGTGATATCTCATCTCCAGAGCGTGGTCCCACACACCTCCCCACCCCCTCAGCCGAAATCGCGTCACAGGGCATTCCTTGGCAGCAGATGGGATGGGCACCTCCTGACTCAGGCACAGCTCCTGCCACCACTCGTTGCTCCTCCAAGGATTAGCTGTCTGTGCCTCCTCTTGGCTGGCAGCACCCAGGCTGTGGGGTGTGTTGCCACTGCCAGTCTGCCTGCTCTCATGGAAACCCTGCAGTGGCTGAAGGATCCCTGCCAACCAGGGAGACGAGTCCAGAACCTTGTGAAGGCACCAAGCTCCCCAGTTTCCACAGCACTGCCTATGCCAGTGCAACAGCTTTTCCACTTCCAATCCCTTCTTGTCCAATATGCAGAAGATTTTTCTCATCTGTAACAATCTGGGCTGTGACTTTCCCCATTCCCTTCAGCATCTTTTGGGCAGGGACAGCTGCATGCAAGTGTTCACTTACAGGGTTTTTGGGTCATTGACGT